CACGATTAAATATATATATATATATATATATATGTATATACGCTACCATGAGGAAGCCACTTGAGATGAAAAGTTGAAATGATTTTTGAATATAGATCTCCATGCTCTCCATGCAATCCGCGCGTCAACATTTTATTTAAAGCGGATATGAGAGAGCGAATTCAATTTCGAACGCCGTAAATATGGAGTTTTTTGTGACTGAAGTATACACTTTTGGAACTTAAAGTGCGATAGGTATACGTGTTTAATATTTGAGAAAGCAAGAAAGAATTCTCTAGTACAGTTTAGAGGAGGAACAAAAAATAGACCAATAAGGATTCTTGTGTTTTTTGTCGCCATCATGAATAAGAATAATGGAAATTATTTTTCCACATGCACACTCCTCAATGGTCTCAATCGACACTAGAAATTCTATAATATGATAAAGTCTGATCAATTTTATCAAAATACGAATGAGAAAGAAGAGTCTTTTTTTATATGCTATCTCTTCTAATTTATGCTATCTTACTATTCTAACTTATTAAAGAACAAAAATGTCAATTAAAAGTTTGTTATCTGGTGCCCGACACTATTAGAGTCTCTAGTCAATTCTAATTGATCCTTAGAAGATAGAGTCTGACTACAAATGTATATACAGAGAGAATTTTTTCTTAGAGTTCACCTTGAAAATATGGTAATCCCACAACATTTCGAAGAATTTTATATAAATTTCTCTGATTTAGTAATAAAACTACAATAAAATAATAAGTTTGATTAATTTTATTGAAGTGCAAGTAAACATTTTTTAAATATTGTATTGTATCACAAAAAATACCATATTTTCAGAGTAAATTATAAACGATAATTCCATCCGTGTACAAATCTTCTATGAATGTATGTGTGAATTTGATATAAATATATATGTAAATCTAATATACGTGTTCTTTGAATGCGTGTCACACTTTTGCTACTACCATTTTGAGAAGATTTTAGAATTGATCAATGAAAACAATCACGATGAAAGACCAGACTCTTATTTTCTAGAGACACTATCATTCATTCGTCATTAACTAAAAGTAATACATCAATGTTTCTATTTATACTGAACAATGTAATTGTTACATTTATATCATCGAGTGCGAAATTACATTGAAGTTAAGTTCCATTGTGGATTGATTTTAATCATTAAAAGATCCTCTAAGATGCAACGAATCGATAATGACAAAATAAAAGTGAGACATACATTAAATATAGGTGAAGTAACGATCAGGTTTCAAAGTCAAGCATTTTGAAGTTGAGCGATTTAGGCACGTTTGGATTGGCATACCTCGACCGTACTCGAGATTCGGAGAAGCGCGAGACAAAACCAAGAGAGCGCGAAAGGACCGATCGGAATGTGCGCAGAGACGTGTATCGCACGAGCACGAAACAATGCCGGAATTGAACTGGTTGCGTATCCGTCTGTAGGAATTGCTGGCACGTACACCGGGAATGTCTTTTCAGTTACAAACGCCGTAATTTTACCGATCCCCGATCCCCGCGTCGTGCTTCTTAATAATTGTTCGGCAATTTTTAATATTCAGCTCGCCCTGGGTGTGTTGTAGCTGACGGTTCACCGCTACGTGACGATGTTTGATCGCGCGTGTCCTACTCGCAATGAGGTTCCTGAGGTTGTATCGAGAATGGCAATGTCCCACGGTAGTTAAAATTCATTCGATCCTACGAAAATCCCAAACGAGAACAATACGAAAATAGCTTCGGAAAATAGCTTCTGTTTAAAAAAAAAAAAAAATTATCAATTATTGTCTGCTGAGATTCTACATTGAAATGAGAAAAATGCGATTGAAAATGGAAGAATCAGAAAATTCTGATTATATTTCAATCAGAATTCTAATTATCGTAATTAAAATTCTAGTAGATTTTCTCCAGAAAATTTTCATTCGTCTATTTTCAATCAGAATTTCAATTAATACAATCAGACATTTTTTTTTTTCAGTGTATATTTCGTCATATTTTGATAAAAAATTATTATTTACCTTAACTATTTCAATTTTTTCATAAAAATTTAAGTACTATCGATAAAAAAAATATTCTCTATTTTATTTAAAAAAAAAATAATAATGTTTATATTATTGTTGTTATTAATTTTTGTCCCGATGCTGTTTTCATTCGATTTATTTTCTGTTTCGGTTAAAATTTCGGAAACTGTTCGATCGAACGCACCTCGCGTTACGCGTTATATGTCGAAGAACGATTGAAAATTCGCGAGTTCCCTCCGCGATGAACGCTTGGGATGATACTGAGAGGAGTTCTTGCCGAAGGGCGAAGATGAAGAAGAAATAGAAGAAGAGTCAAAGAGTGGAGAGGAGCGCGTGTCCTCCGTCTGTGCGTCAGCGGTGCGTGACGCATAGCGATTTAAATAAGCATACAATATTTTCTTAACAAGAAACGGCGTATTCTCACAACTATTTGTAAACGCGAAAGCTTATCATTTTCCCCCCCAAAAAAAATTAAGCAATATTAAACGATTAGATTATCTTTCATTCAGAGATAAAAATATTGATCAATATTGGAGTCAGTTTCTTGCGAATCTGTTTTTATTCACTGTAGAACGTTTGCGTGATTCTCGGAATATTTCGAGCATACGCGGAAATGATCTGTCAATCCACCGAATGTTACGCCAATGTGTCGACCGTACGATTGCATCGTATAAGAATATTCATCGGCATACACCGCGAGAACGCGTTTGCTCGACACACGCATCGCTGTAGTCTGCAAACCAAGCGGATCAACAACCGGACGTGGCTGTGGACTGCAGCTTCTTTTGCGTTTCGTCTGCTCCTTGTCGAGCGCATGGCAAGCACGATGCACGCGGAAGATTTAACGCGCCTCGCTTGATCGCTCGTTTGTGCGAGAGAACAAATTGAGGAAGTAACTTTTTTTTCGCAAAAGGAAGCAAGACTGGTTATGTTTTAATTGATGTAATTAATAAGATGTAATTATCTATAAATAATTAATCATATATCGATACCAGAATTCAAGTGAAATAAAAGAGTGGAATTCAAGAGCAGACTGAGCAAAAATGCTGTTATTAATGACGGAGCGTTTTTCTTGCAGCAGACACCGGATAAGCTCCAGGCGAGGCTCCAGACGAAAAATGGCAATGGCCGTTAATGCGCTGCGAACGGGGGAGTAAATTACGGAAAAGGGTGGCGGTTCGGAATCGACATGTTGGGCAAACTTGGAGCGCCGAAAACTAGAGATCCTAAAGTGAGAGAGATTGCTCATCCCGTTTACACAACTTCTGTTTGGTACGCCATATTTTTTAGGATCTGCTCAAAATAGAATGAGATACATGGATATCTCTTTCTATCTCCACACTGAAAAAAAATACTAAATTTTAATAAATATTTTTTTAAACGTATGAAATAAATGTAAATATACATTTATTTGATACGAAAAATAGTAATTTGATTTAACTATTATTTTTTTTATTGAATAAATATCTATTTATTGTGAGCAAATGTTTACTTAGTATATTGTATTATTCAAATAAATATTATTAAGATTTAGTGTATAATAATTTTTTTTCGCATAAATTATCTCATTCTATCTTAAGTACATCCTGAAAAATATGGCAGACTATAAATGTATGTAAACGATGTCAAATCTCTTACACGAAGATCTCTTCCGAAAAACAGACACGTGCGCGCCATAAGGGCGACGATCTCACGCCTCGCAAATCCGGATCTCGTTTTCATCCGCCATTCTCTACTGCAAAACGTTTGCTAATCTGTCGCGCACCGGGCTGCTGAAATAACGGAGTGCGCGTGCAAAGCCCGTGTACAGAATCAGTGCAAAGCCGTGACGCTCGGATTTTAATAGATAGCTTCTGCACTTCGCTAGATCGATTATAAATCACGTTGGAGAATTAAATCTCATGATTTGCCACAATTACCCAAGCGTGATGGATCACGTAACGGACAGAGTAATGCATGGTACATATATTGAGAGCGATGTGTATGTATATAAAGTGCGCTTCGCTGCAAATCGCGGAAATACGAAGGGCGATGAGAGTGAGATACGACTGGAGTTTATTTCCCTAACGTGCACATCTTGCTCTACTACATCTCTTCGCGACATATATCTTCTGTCAGTTTTGACATGAGATATGAAAATATCTCTCTGTAATCTTCAATTCTCTGTCTCTTTATTAGATTACTATATTTACATCAAGTTTATCATTTATGTGAACTTGAAATATCCTTCCTTGGATGTAATTCTTCATTGTATTGTAGTTTACGCTCAAAATTAAAATTAAGAGCTCAAGTAAAAGAAGATTTGATGATGTAAAAAATAAGCGTAAGACGGTAATATAACATTTAGCGATTTCAAAGCCAGAAAGCTATGTTTATATAGCAAAAGAAAAATGTCAAGTTTATCAATACAATAAGTATCGAGTTTAAACTCATTTAAAGAAGATTATTCTATTGGCAAATGTATATTTAGAGATCCACAATTACTATACAATATTAAAATAGCGT